AAGAATGGGAATCGGAAGAGGCGAATATATGGAAAGAAATTTTTAAAAAAGGATAAAGGTTGAATATTAAAAAAAAGAGAAATAAGTAAAAGAGATCAGAAAAAATAGGGAAAAGAAGGAATGAAAGAGGGAATGCGGGAAGTGTGAGAAAGGGGAAATAGAAGGAATTAGAGATAGGGAAGCGATAGAGGGAGAAAAAATGAAGAAGGAGCAAACAAACAAACAGATATATGAATACATGCATACATTTATGAATATATATATATATATATATATATATATATATATATATATATATATATATATATGTATGTGTGTGTGTGTGTGTGTGTGTGTGTGTGTGTGTGTGTGTGTGAGATTGTCTGTGTATGTATGTAGGCATGCATTTATTCATCTATGTATGTATGTGTGTGAATATATAATGAGTGTATATGTATGTATGTAAGTAGGCATGCATTTATTCATCCATGTATGTATGCGTGTGTGAAAAATAATGATCAAGTCATATATAGTAACAGAATGTATATGTATGTATGTATGCATGTATTTATTCATCTATGTATGCATGTGTGTGAATATATAATGACCAAGTAATATATAGTAACAGAACGTGTATGTATATATCTATGTAGGCATGTATTTATTCATCTATGTATGTATGTGCGAAGATATAAAAATCAAGCATATATTTCTAACAGAATGTATATGTATGTATGTATGTATGTAGGCATGTATTTATTCATCGATGTATGTGCGAAAATATAAAAATCAAGTGATATATTCTGACAGAATGTATCATAAACATATTCAAATTATCTCTTGCACTGAGATGTTCAAACAACCCTGTTCATATCACCGATTTCCCTCCTCCGAGTTCATTATGATAACATGCGTAATCAGCTGTGTTATAAGTTTCAGCTTTCTTGGGTAATATTAGCATTAATATTGACATTTAACATCAACGATATTGATGTATGTGTGTAGAATTTGCTATTGTTAACATTGCTTCGAGATGAGAAATGCATCGTGAATTATATATATATATATATATATATATATATATATATATATATATATATATATATATATATATATATATATATATATATATATATATATATATATATATCGTAATCGGTAGCAGAATAATTAATAGCGTTTTCTTTTTTTGAGGAGCAGGAGGAGGAGGAGGATTAACAATTTTGATTAATTTCATAATTTCTTCTTATCTTCGTTATCATTCATATCATTGTTATTACATTTATTACTGTTGCTACCACCACTGACAACACAGAACCAATAGTCTATCTTAATTACTGTCACCTCAATCGTCTCTAATACCTGATTTAATTGTCAACTTTTCATTAATTAACTTTTCATTAATTACCCACATTGCCACCACCTTCCTCACTACAAGTACGGCTGCCGTTTCTGTTTTCCAACACTAGGATTTCTCTCTCAGTGACATCATCATTTTGGAGTTACTCTCTGCCACCACAACCATTCCTTTGGTTTACAACACTCATTTTTTTTCCACCACAAGCCTTCTCTCACAACCACTTTAATTTCCAATACTACCTAGACTGCTGCTGCCCTCACAAACTAATGATTTCCAACATCCCCTTCCCACACTACCAAGATCCTCCTCCTCATTGCCCCATTCCCCCCCCCTCATGATTTCACCCTCATAACTTCTTTTTTTTTTCATTTCTCTGCTTTTTCACTTCTTTCCGCATTTCCCTTAATGACTTCCCTCCTCATAACATCCTTTTTCATATTTCTCCTCACTCCTTTCCTCTTTTTTTCCTTTAAAACTCCTTCATAACTCCCCCCCTATAACCTCCTCCTCATAATTTCCCCCTCATAACTTCCTCCTCGTAACTTCCCCCTCATAACTTCCCCCCTCTCATAACTCCCCCCCTCATAACTTCCCCCTCATAACTTCCCCCCTTCATAACTCCCGCCCTCATAACTCCCCCCCTCATAACTCCCCCCCCCTCTATAACTTCCCCCTCATACTTCCCCCCCTCATAACTTCCCCCCTCATAACTTCCCCCTCATAACTCCCCCCCTCATACTCCCCCCCTCATAACTCCCCCCTCATAACTCCCCCCTCAATAACTCCCCCCTCATAACTTCCCCCCTCATAACTCCCCTCATAACTCCCCACCCCCCCCTCATAGCTTCCCCTTCTCCTCCCCCAGGGTACTGCCCGAGCACCTGGGACGGCTGGCAGTGCTGGCCGGCGACTCCCCCGGGCGTCGAAGCCAAGAGACCGTGTCCGCCGTACGTCTACTTCGGGAAGCCTTCGTCGTGTCCGAGTAAGTGGGGTGGGGGGTGAGGGTGAGGGGGGTTGGGGAGGTGAGGGTGGGGGGTCGGGTTGGGGATGAGGGTGGGGTAGGGGGTCGGGGTTGGGTTGGGTTGGGGAGGTGAGGGTTGGGGGTAGGGGGGTACGGGGTTGGGTTGGGGTATGAGGTGGGCGGGGTTGGGTTGGGTTGGG